TTTGCTCCATGCTCATGTGGTCCCTTGGTTTTGAATCTTCATCCAGTAAGATGAAAATAGCATAGGTCACTCCTAATTTTATGCTAAGTGAAAGAAAATAAAATTCAGTAATATGGCACTCATTTTTACAAACTTAATATGAAATGGCTTAAACAAGGCATTTAAAATGATGCCTTTCACTGGAATAGCTTGCACAGGTAAAGTTACTGCCCTGTAACCTTTTAGTTCGCATGTTCATCTTGATATAATATGAATAAAGAAAGAACTCTGTGTGTAGTTAATTGATTCAACAATGACATGTTCAGTTTTTAAACATTTTAGTGCCAGGAAAACAGAGCTGTCCTTATGATTTTCTTCTGTTTATTTTAAGATAAATATGTTATGAGAGAGACAATGTGTTGCTTTTCTCTTGTATTCTTTGTTTTCTAATATGCCTCTAAGGGATAATTAATTGTAGAAAAATGTTCTATGTGACAGAGCTCTCTTAATAAATTTGTAAACCAAGATGTTCTACTGCTGCTTGGCTGTCACATACAGGTACATGATGAGTTGCGTTTTGTACTTCCAATGAAATTTACCCAAAAGTAACACTCTCTCTCCCACTCTTGCAAAGAAGCCTATAGCAGGGGCTTAAGTGAAAGAATAGCCTGAGATGCCCCTCACAGAGTCTTCCTGAAATTGTCATGTGGGGTAGATGGGGTTTGCTGCTGAGACTTGGTGCAGTGTGTGTGCTCAACACTCAAATTGGGCAACTCCATTTTGGTATAGAGGGCACACTCCCTCATTGACATCCTCTTTAGAAAGTCTAGCATCAGTGGATGCACTAGACCCAAGCCGTCCTTATGCTTGGGCAAAGATAAGGACTTCCACTGGAACTGGACACTGCATTTTTACACCTTCTCTCCTGCTGTCCAAACCTGTGCTGAGGCCAGTCACAATTTAGGCCTTCAGAAATCAGAGATGGAAAAGACCTTTTAGATCATCGATTTCACTTCTCATTATGGCTGTCAGCTCTCTATTGGCTTTGCAATAGACAATGGTGTTTTGGTATGGTATGGCTTTATTTGAAAACTTGAAATGGTGGGGCTATTTGGACAGGAAAATTGCCCAACGTGTTTGTCACTTTTTAAATGTATGTGGATCTGAATGAATGATTTTGCTGTTGCTGTTTAAACCATTCAGATACTTGTAGATGGATTTTGTGTCTCCATTTAAAACCATTTGATCAAATTATACACATTATAACTAGTTCTGTTAGGGCCCAATCTTATATTCCTCATTCAGGCAAAACTCCAACTGGCGATAAAGGGTCTGAGTAAGGGTTTTGTTTACAGGGCTCTTAATCTTTCTATATAAATCCATCCTCCTTGCCCTTAGTCAATTTTATTGCTCTTTTTTTTAATTCCCTCCGACTTGTTGACATCTCTCTGGTTCTGAGTGCCCAGAACTGAACGCAATAGTAAAGGATGACCTTAACTACTTAAGCTTTGATGGAAAAAGGCAATATTCAGGCTTGTTTTCTTCTGGCATGCTTCTTCGGTGGCAAAACATTTTTCTACTGTTTTAAGTGATATGAAAACTTGAAGCTAAAACGGTTAGGGCCCCCTGTTCTGTTTAACTGACAGTGAAATTTGAAGGAGGTGCTGCTTCCCCCTCAACCACTAAATGTGACAATAATGAGGAGGAGGGCGGAGGGCCCGGCTGGGGCTCCGCTCTCCCCGGCAGCCAGAGCACCGGGGGAGGGCAGCGAGCCGGCCGGGGCTCTGCTCTCCCCGGCGGCCAGAGCGCCGGGGGGAGGGCGGAGAGCCCGGCCAGGGCTCCGCTCTCCCTGACGGCCAGAGCCGGAGCACCGCGCCGTGCCGCCTCCCTCCAGGTGCCGCCCCAAGCACAAACTAGGTGGGCTGGTGCCTGGAGCCAGCCCTGGACATAGTAACTATTATGAAAGTGCAGGAGAACAGAGGTACAGAAGGAAAGTCTATGGAGTGGGATGGAAGGACAGCAACTGGGTTAAACAGAAGTACTCCAACAGATATCTTTTGAGAAGAGAAACAACAAACCATTTGTCAATTCAATGAACATGAAAAATAGCTTACTGTGATAGGTGCTTGGAAGGCAGGGTGACCTAGTGGTCAGTACATCTGACCTCCAACCCTTTGTCTCTGTCAGGGGGCAGTAGCAGTGCCTGGTTCCTGACCCCAGGACAGGAGTGTTTGGGCCTCTTTGCCCATACATCTGGCCCTTTGCCCATAAGTGGGGTGTGGGAAGTAACACTGGCAGGTTCCTCCCCATAGAGAACCAAAATCTGGTGCACTGGGCTACTTCCTACCTATGCGCTCCTTCAATTTTGGGGCATAGTCCAAACAGTCAGTAGCTTCACAAAGTCCAAATGAGCAGTTCCTGAAAGGCCCAAAGTGGATGATGGTTGGAGAAGGCACTGCCTGGGGCCTTACCTGCTCTGTGGTCCCCTCTCAGGCTCCACCTTCTGTTTGGTTTCCTGGAGAAGGATTCTTCTCTCCTGTAGCCTGTCCACCACCTCTTGCCTGGGCTTCTGAGTCTCTTAACCTGCTCCTCTAGCTGGAGCATACTTGGCAGGCATGTAGGAGCAGCACTACATGGGCTGATATTCACTTTTAACTCTTTCGAGCACAGTGTGGGGTTTGTGTATCCCATCACATTTACACTTTGACAGTGAAAGTGTCATACACAAAGATACGTGCAGAAACTACCGTGACATTAGATAATCCATTTAGCAAAAGGCTTGCTCTTCCCATTTGAAGGAAAGTGAAATAATAACTAAGTTGTGCCCCCAAAATTATTCTGTATACCCATAAATATTATATTTATCCTTTCCCTTAAGGAGGAACCCTAATGTTATTTGAACTACCACATATAGAGCTTGCCCTACTCAATCTTTGCACAAAGACTATAACTAGATCACATTTGGAACTGGTTGAAACTTGGGGATTTTGGTTTGCCTTAAGTTTTGGTATTTTCGAATTTACTTTTGTTCCAATGGTACTTGCTTGTGTTTCAGCAAAAGTTAGATTTCATGAAACTATTTTGTTGGAAAATTGCCAATTATCTCTAATCACATATCATAGCTCCAGAACAGAAACCTGTGTTTGCACTGTAACTGTTGTTGTTATTTTAAATGTTGAGTCTTTGTCCATTCCTGACTTCTCTACCCAAGCAAAATTTCTGTTGCTAACAACTGCAGATATCTTTTGAATACATAAGACTATCATGATCAGGTAAATGGCTTCTAAGGATCAGATCCTCCGCTAGCGTAAATGAGTACAGCTCCTGGTGCTGCACATCACTGGAGCTACACCCATTTATGCCAATTGAGGACCTGGCCCTAACTTTGATTTTTAAGGATTTGTGTATATGTGAGTAAATTCAGTAGACTTGAATCTTGGTTGCTTCGTTCCCTGTGTGGCCATTCACACCTGCACAAGGTGGGTCCGCATCTGCTGTCAAATCAGAATGGTACCTATATTGCACAGGTGTAAAGGCTGAAAGGTGCAAGGCAGAGGTGAATCAAAGTAATGAGGTACTATCAGTCTTTGAAGTTTTTTAGTTAAATCATTGAGGATTTTGTCATTTTTCCCTCTGTCAAAATCTGAAGACCACATATACTGCCATAGGTATGGCAGACTTATAGAAAAAATAACTCAGTGTTTTTTATTGACTGACTGAAGTTTAACTCTTTCAATACTTATTAGAAATATTTTGGGAAATATTTGAGAAATTTCAAGGGTAAGTAAAATTAATAATTTAAAAAAGACTTTAGTGTTGCAGAACACTCAATAATTAGACACTGAGATTTAGTTAGATTTTTCTTTCATAACTAGAGCGGGTGGAGTAACTTGTAATAGTTTTTTCCTATGAGTGCTAAGTTTAGATGAATTATGTTAATAGGTTATTTTATGTGATGGTGACCATAGGAAGGGACTCATGATGCATTCTTGTTAGTTAGAGGGTTATTTTCATGCAGTTGGAATACACAATTAGATAGATCCTGGTAAGATTTGTTGATTTTAATGAAACATGCTTAAGTTCATCCAGTTTCATGTGGTTTGGATTTGAACAAAACTTTGGATCCATAAAACTAAACAGTGAAGCCAGCACAGAATCTTGCTACCCAGAACTGTGGTTTTTGCATAGCCTTGATTATAGTATCTCGGGGAAGGTGGATTTGTGTGTCTCTCTCACACCCCCTTCTCCCAGGAACCAACTCCAGAAACCCCTTGGTCCTACTCCTCATCCCCACCCCCAACCAGAGCCATCACCCCCTTCCGCACCCCAACCCCAGCCTGCCACACAATTTCTATTCCCAGATGTGGCCCTCAGGCCAAAAAGTTTGCCCAGCCCTGGTCTAGATAGTACTTAGTCCTGCCTTGAGTGCAGGGGACTGGACTGGATGACCTCTCGAGGTCCCTTCCAGGCCAATGAGTCTCTGCTTAGCCTCTCTAGGCGCTATTCATGAATTAGCGCTTTGAGCGCCTCAGAGAGAAGCCACAATCTGGGCCCAGCCCCCAACTGCTGACAGATGCGCTCCCCTGGAAAGGTAACGGGGGAAGGGCCCAATCCTGCCCCTCCAGTGGCAGCAGAAAGATGCCCTCAGACCCCCTGCTCCCACTGAGCCAACCCACTGCTCTAGAGATCCACCATCCGGACTCTACCAACGTATCACAGAAAGGGGGGGGGCGAAGGGGCAGAAACGCTTTCTGCGGAATCCTATGCACCCGAAGAAGTGAGGTTTTCACTCACGAAAGCTTATGCCCAAATAAATCTGTTAGTCTTTAAGGTGCCACCAGACTCCTTGTTGTTTTTGTAGATACAGACTAACATGGCTACCCCCTGATGCTTTCCGCGGAGGCAGTCCCAGCTCCGTTCCGAAGGGGGTAGTTGCGAGGTGGGATACATGAGCAGCACCTCCCCCCCGGGGAGAGCGGAGAATGGTAGAGTCTGAATTTAAATGAAACGGTCCCTAGAGCTACGTTCCCCCTCCACCCCGTCTCTGCGCTGGCAACAGGTGGGGCCTATGGGCGGGCCCTCGGGCCCGCCCCGCCCTGCCGGAGGGAGACTCGCCGCGGCAGAGATTTGGGGCAGGCGGGGTGAAGGCTGCTCTCAGACAGCTGCTGCCGGTGCGTGGGGAGCTGTCTGCCCCCGGTGGAGCGCGGAGAGGCGGGTAAGGGAGGGCGGGCGCGAGCCCCAAGGGGAGCAGGGCGCAGCTCCCCCTCCTGTCCCCGGCCGGCTGTAACTCCCGGGGTCTGCCCCTCGCCCGCTGTGGGGGTAGCGGGACTGTTACTCCGCGGCCCCTTGCCCGGGTAGGGCAGCACCCGCTGTGCCGTGGGCACCTGCCACAGGTGCTGCCCTGCGCCCGCTCGCCCTCAGCGCGTTCGCCCTGGGCGTTGGGCGGCACGGGGGCCCCTGTGCCGTCAGCCGGGGCCCTGCTCGTGCGGGTCGGAGTTTCCTTAACTCCTGTTTCAGCGGCGTGGCTGCTGCGCCGAGGGGCCCCTCTACGGCTTGAGGGCCCCTGGCCGCCGGTGCCGTTCTGCTGTAAGGCGGGGTAGTGTCTAAGGCCGAGCCCGCTCCTGAAGGAGCGTTTCTCTCGTCCCCCAAGCCCCTGCACGGAGTGCGGTGTCCCTCTGCTGCTGCTGGGCCAAGCAGATGCCCTCGTGGAGCTGAGCGTTACCCGGGAGATGGCATTGCACAGGGTCCCGCTTGCCAGTTATCCTAGCATCTTCCAGGCGAGCCTGGGGACGCGAGCAGGGGAAATCCTGTGTCGGGGGTCGGGGTGGGGTTGTAAGTAGCGTTGTAATGGTAACACTGGAAATTCCGCCTGTTCTTTATATATGTCTCTCTTTCCATCTGTGCTGTCTTCTGACGTGCTTCACTCGTTTTAGCCCCCAGCCTGTGTCTTCCTTGGGCTTGTCTTCATTGGGGGCTTCCAGAGAAATCTTTCACTGTTGCCTAGAAAAGGTGGGAGTGCTAACTGGCTACAGCTGACACTTTTTCCACCCTGTTGTATGTATGGGCTTTGAGCAGGGTCGGACAGCACTGTGGTGGTAAGGCTAATACTGGTGGACCTGTGCTCAAGAGTGATGGTAGGGAGGCCTCCCTAAAATCCTCAGTACCAATATAGCTCAACAGAGCTGCATACAAAATACTTTTCTTGGATCTGTTACATAAATGTGTTAACTAATGCTTGAACTATGCTTTAGATTGTTATTAAATAAAATATATAACTGGTAATAAAGTGAATTCTATGAACCCACTTGAAAATTCATTCTGGTTCAAGAGTTCACTAGTTTCAGCAATACTCCTTATAATTAAGGGGGAGAACTTCTTGAACAGGTGACCTCTCTAGAATTTGTATTTCCCTCTTTTAAATGTAGGGAATGTTGCTGGAACCTGAGGTCTCTAAAACTGGAATGGATTTCTTAAGTATGCCTAAACTTTGAGCTGTGACTTTCATGGACTACAACTCATTTATTGTACTAATCTTTTTCTTCTTTTCCTGTACACAGATGAGTAAAACTGGGAAACTAGAAACTATACTAGCAGAAATTTTATCTTCTGTATTCACAGCTGATAAAAGGTGGATATAATTTTGTTTTAAAAAATCAGTGGGTATATCTGTGTACTGTTGCATTCCCGATTATAAGATTAACATATAAAAAAGCTATTGTACTATGACAAAGTCTAATAATTGGTAATTGTGATAACTGTATTGCTTGTACTGTGCAGTCTGCTGGAGATTATGGCAGTACGTACTAGGTAACTTGTTCTCCTGAACACCTATTAAAAGCATAGCTTTATGAGTAATGGTGCTAAACTTTGTTATACCAATCAGCCAATACGGCATCTGTAAATGCTGCTTTTTCTGTATGGTATAACTGGAGATGCAGTAGAGTAAAGACAAGTATAGTACTTCATGAAATGTTTAGCACTCAGAATAAGTGTGACTAATAAGTGACTTAGTATAAAGTAGTAATGGATTGCTGCTTTGTTTATATTATGGAACAAAAGACATCCATTCTATGATATGGAGAAGTGTATTCAGTCAAGCCAAATCCTTCAAAATGCTTGGTGCTGTTCATGCTATTTTGAATACCTTCAACTCCCACTGAAGTCATATAACCTTTCTGAAACCTGAGTTTCAAGTGATTGTCCACATGGATTCCTCTCTTGGTGTGCATAAGATCTGATTCTTTTTGGCTAGCAACATCTCCTGGGGTTGTGCCTGTGCCTAAGATGCCTTGGTGCCCATCTTCACCACCTACCCGAGAACATAAAGGGCACAGCGGGCCCAACCATCATTTGGTTCCTTTTTGCCAAGTATGGCAGTGGGACAGAACCCACGTAGTGTCTGCTTACTCTGCGTGCTGTGCAATTTCTTGGTTAGGATAGTATCCCTTTGTTTTTACACTCACCGGCACATAAAAAGATAATAAATTATGGGATACCTAGTACTAGAACCCTAGCTGCTATGTCAGAAACAAAGTCTTTGGGATTTAAAACTTTTGCAAGGTGGCTATCCTGCACAATGATGGGTACTCGATGCCTCTATTCCTTTGGTGAGTGATATAATCCTAACAGATACTTGACAGATCTGTTGATCTGTTGCTGTTTCTCCAAGAGGATACAGAAGGAGAAAGGCAGGCCTGCCTTCAATTTTTTCTTCTGGAGTGCTTGATGAGAACCTCCTTGGGCGGGCGGGGGGGAGGGGGGAGGAGATTCCCACTAGGCCTGAACAGTCTTCTTTGGCTAATGCTCCTGTGAATTGTGAGGTACTGGGCTCATCGTCATTGAAAAGATGGATCCCTTCAGATACTGAGACTGGGAGTGCAGCCAGACCTCTTCCACCCAGTTGTCAGAAAGGGGTAAGAAGGAACATTTTTCCCGGAGAGCACAGATATGGGACACCCTCTCTGGTTCTGACCAGACAGAAACAGAAAGCTCACCAACTGTTACTTGTGCTGTTCAGACAGACCAGATCTGGGCCGCAAACCATTTTTTTAGCTGATGTCTTGGCACTGGCTGATGTCCAGGTACCCACAGTATTCCCTGAAACTTGAGTCTTCACTTCTCTTGGTACTGATTCCTTGGGGGCTGATATTGATATGGACACATTTGGAATGGATAACCTTGGTGCCCTTGACACTGTCTCCACAATGCAGATGTTTCTGGAACAGACTTTCTTGGTATCCAAGATGTCCTGTTTATTGATTATTTCATGATCACACAACTGAAGACATTTTTTTCCTTCGTACCACTCACTAATACTGGTGATGAGCTCTCCTGCTCAGGTTATGGGAGAATTCAAGAGAAGCATACAGCACTCTAGATGGGGTAGCTCCCCTGTTTAGTTTTTGTTTTTTTTCCCGGGAAGGTTTTCCCTCAGTCTCCAGATGCACATTTTGAATTATCAAGTACTTCTATCAAAATATAACTATCCAAAGGGGGACAGGATGTCTCAATTCATAGAGAAGTGACCACAAAATGAAAGGGAAGGACTAAGGTCTCTGGCATCTGAAGGGTCGTTAGTGTCCCAAACATTGGTGCAGGCTGCTTTAGACACCTGCTATGGCAGCATATGCAGTGGCCACTTTCATTGTGATGTGGGCTTCATGGTGCCCATTTTTGAGAATACTACAGGGGGTCCAAATGACACTTGAGAACCTCCTGTTTGAAGATTTTGACTTAGTTAACATTGGAACTGGTGAAGCCATGAAGGATTTGAGAGCTCCACTCCTTGGATGTATACAAACCAGCCACCCGGAGGAGGCAGGACAGATCTGCAAAACTTTGCTAGACAGAGCCCCTCTACCTCTTGTTCCAATGACCTCTTAGGTTTTAAAAATTGAAGATGAGGCAGAGGTTCAAATGCAGGAGACATTTTGTCTCTTCTCTGCTGCATACTTCATCTACCTTATGGTGGCAAGTTAGATGCCATTGTTGAGAGCCAATCAGAACCATTATTGGATGTGTACCCCTTTCCACCCCCCTTTTGGAAACCACCTCTTATTTTCAGGAGGGCTGAAACCAGCTGAGCTCTGAACAGCGGGTCCTGGTAATCACAAACAAAAAGATATTCAGTACGATTCCAGGCACTTCCTACCCACACCTTCCTTTCCCCATGCCTTTTCAGGGGCTCTTTTAATGAGATAATGTTGAAACTAGAGGTAAAGTCCTTTCTGCCACCCAGAGCAGTGGATGAAGAGTCCCTGGAATTCAGAGGCAAGAGGTTCTACTTTTTATTTTGAAAGCAGAAAGGGGCTGGCATCCTATTCTAGACTTCAGATGTCTCAACAAATTTCAGGCTTAAAATGTTGACTGGGGCTTCAGTTATTTCTCATGATTGATTGGCTGCTATTTGCCTTCAGGATTTGTATTTCCACCTGTCCATATGTCTAGCATACAGAAAATACCTCAGATGTGAAGTAGGGGACTTTTGCTCCTAATACAGGGTTCTGCCTTTTGGTCTCTCCCTGGCACTGAGTATTCACCATAGGTGCCAACTCTGTGGGTGCTGGAGCACCCACAGGGAAAAAATGATGGGTGCTGAGCACCCACTGGCAGACCCCCTATTAGAACCCCTCCCCTCAGTGCTTTCTGCCCGCTGGCAGGCCCCGCCAAGCCAATCAGTGCCTTCCCTCTTTCCCCATACCTCCTGCCGCTACAGTCAGCGGTTTCATGACATGCGGGAGGTTCTGGTGGGAAAGGGGAGGAGCGAGGACATGGCATGCTTGGGGGAGGAGGTGGGGTGGGAAGAGGTGGGGGGGGGCTGGGTCAGAGGTGGGGGTCAAGCTCCCCCTCTACCTCCCCCTCCCCCGCACTTTGGAAAGTTGGTGCCTGTAGTATTCACCAAGCATTTAGTGGTCATCAAAGCCCATTTAGCAAGACACAATATTCAGTTATACCCATACATTGATGACTGGCTGATCTGGAGAATATCTTCTAAAAAGGCAACACTCCATTCATGAGATCTGACAGCTCTGTACCACAATGGGGCTCAAGATCAACAGAGAGAAATCTACACTTTTATTGACTCAAAGTATATCATTCATAGGTGCTGTGTTAGAGTTGAGGTCAACAGGAGTATATAGATCATGGGGGGCGGGGGAGGAAGGGGTCCAAATCATAGTCTGATAAGAAGTCTCTTCGATGATCCGCGAGCTCAACCTGAGATGTCTGTAAGAGCATGTCTGAGATTTGTAGGTCATGTGTTTTTCTGCACCAATATTGCACAGCATGGCAGACTTCTAGACTTCACCTATACTCTATACAAAGTGGTTGCAATCAGTATACAGTAATTCCTCACTTAACGTCATCCCGGTTAATGTTTCATTTTTACGTCACTGATCATTTAGAGAACATGCTCGTTTAAAGTTGCGCGACACTCCCTGATAACATTGTTTGGCAGTCGCCTGCTTTGTCCACTGCTTGCAGAAAGAGCTGCCCGTTGGAGCTAGCTGGTGTGGACTTGGAACCAGGGTGGCCCAGCCCCTCATCAGCTCCCCTAAGTTCCCTATGCGGAAGTTGCCCAGCAGGCTATCAATTGCCTGGCAGTTCAGCTGTCCCTCCCCTCACTGCCATGTGCTGCTTCTGCCCTCTGCCTTGGAGCTGCTCCTGGGAGCCTCCTGCTTGCTGTTCAGGGGGTGGGGGGAAGAGAGGTGCTGATGTCAGGGTGTCCGTCCCCCCCCCCGCTCCTACCCACCACTCCTGTACCCCATCTCCACAGGGTGTCCCCCTCCACCACTCCTCCTGCTTGCTGTTCAGGAGGTGGGCTGGACAGGGCTGAGGATGGAGGGAGCTTGCTGGCAGCAGCTGCTGTTTCATCTTGCTGATCTACTTAAAAAGGCAGTGTACTTAAAGGGGAAATATGCAACACACACACACACCCCTACCTCTCCCACTTCCCCCTAGCATGGGTTAATCATCACATTCAGTTTCCACAGGGAATGTTTGCAGCCACTGCCATGCTGTCTCTCCTCCCTCCATTCGTGCTGCCTTGTAGAGTGTGAGGTTACATTAACAACAATGTGTTAACCCTTGAGGGCTCAGATAAGTGCTAGTTCATCATTTAGCAGTAAGGCATTCCCTGGGAAATATCCCACCCTCTGACTCCACCATCTCAACCAAGCTTCACAATCATCATTGCTGTGTACTGTATTAAATTGTTTGTTTAAAACTTAAAAAAATTTCCTGGAAGCTAACTCCTGCTATTTACATTAATTCTTATGGGGTAATTGGATTAGCTTAACATCGTGTCGCTTAAAGTAGCATTTTTCAGGAACATAACTACAATGTTAAGCGCAGAGTTACTGTATCTACTAAGCAAATACCATGTGGACATGAAAGTGAAGGTCCTGTGAAAATCCTCTGTTAGATTGTTGCCCATGTGAAAGTGTTCTTTCACCAGAGTACCTCTTTGCTGCACCACTTCCTACCAAAATGTTGGTAAAGATCAGCTCCCCATTTAGAAGAAGCACTTTTTACCATTTTCCAACACAAGGTCTCTGACTCTTCCTCCCCACCCAAGCTCAACTTCACGTAAATAGCTGAGCCCTATGTCATTTAGCATGCATGGCATTCCTCCCCTTGTTGCAGGGATCCGTGATCCAAGTGACAGCAGAAAACATCACAGCTATGCATTATGTCAACAGAAAGAGGAGCATAGTCCTCACTGCTGTGCTGAGAAGCTGTTTGTCTCTAGGATGGGTGCAGTCATCAGATCATGCTAGTTACTATGCGTCTTCCAGGGTTTTAAAATTCTCTCCCGTCAACTTAACAGGCATGAGTGGACACTGAAAGACTCAGTCTTGAAGATCCTTTTTTTTCCACAGATGAGGATAATAAATGTCCTGTGTTTAGCTTCAGAGAGGAGTTTGGGCTTAGGCACCCTGTCAGATGCTGTCCTCATTTTATGCAGACTGGGGCTCATGTGCCTACTTGTCAATCCTCTTAGTACCAAGGGCATGGGTTCCTGGTGGCCTGGCCATTGGATGAGGCTAGCCCCTGGCCTCTCTCCTGCCCAAGGTCCCACCTGTCCCCCATATTTTCCCACTCCCTCCAGGAGCCCAGAGCACCCCCTATGTGGCCCTCAGCCCTGGTGTGCCAGGTGACACAGTCAGAGTGCCGGGTGGGCAGTGTGGCCCTAGTGCCAGCCACCTGAGTCCATGCAGCAGGCCAGCCAGCTCCAGCCCCAGCTTGCCAGGGCAGAGCACTGGGAACTGCAGGAGGAGACCTGGGGGTGGAGTGTGGGTGGGGCCACACCAGGCTGTTTGGGGAGGCACAGCCTCCCCGAGCCTATGATACCCGCCACCCATGACCAAGGGCTCTCAGTCAAGATTCAGCCTTCATGGTCATGGTAGTCCCAGCCTGGCCCAGACAGCTCTGGTACTCAGACCTAGTGAAGCTATCAGCTTTATTTCCAACCTGTTTTACCAGATGTGACTTAACAAAACGAAGGTCAGATCTTACACCTGGATCAAGCATCATTCAGCCAGCATCCATGCGATCAGATGTGTTAACTGCCATTGGAAGAAGCTGTTCAGCTGAGATCAAGAACATCTTGATACATAATCTAAAAAGTTTTTCTGGAAACTTATACGGCAAAATAGAAGAGATTTTCTATTTGGGCACAGTGTCACCTGTCTCCCTTGGAAAAACCCATTTCTGCTGTTCTGAATTATCTGCTAACCCTAAAACATTCAGGACTATCCTTCAGTTCCCTAAGAATACACCTACCAGCGATATCTGTGCATAATTCTCCAATTGAGGGTCTGGTCATACCATATTTTTCTACTGTATAGTTGCTAAATTCCTCAAAGGTCTCATTTATGTTTTCCCTTATTCTGAGATTCCCTTTCTTCCTGGTATCTCAACATAATGTTAGCTGGTTTAATGAGACCCCCTTCTGAGCCCTTACACCTACTCTTTTTACCACTTGCCTATGAAGGCTGCCTTTTTTAGTAGCTATAACATCAGCTCACAGGATATGGGAAATTCAAGCCCTTAGGCCTAGTTGACCTTACATGGTGTTCCATAAAGAGATGGTGACTGATAGGCCTCACACCAAGCTCCTGGCTATGATTTTTTTTCTTCTTCAGATTTTCATTTAAATCAATGGGTTCACCCTCAGTTTTCTTTCCCAAGTCACACTCAACCTTTGGCAAAACTAAGCTTCACACACTTGAGTAAGGGCATGATCTTTCCATTTATAGAAAGAAAAAAAAATTAGAAACCTCTAAGCAGAGAGGGTGACATGTCAAGCAATATTCTCAGAGGTTATCAAAATGAGTCTCCAGATGTGTAAGAATGTGTTATGAATTAGCCAGGTCAGATCTACTAGCCACATTAGAACTCATTCCACTAAAGGTAGGCAGCCTCTCTGCCTGATTGAAGACTGTCCCCTGTTTCTGAAATCTGTAGGGCATCCACATGGAGCTCTGGCCACACCTTTTTAATAGAGCCTTCCAGATTGGATGTCTGGTTGGTAGAGGTGTCCCACAATCATTGTTTAAATAGGACTCTTAGACCCCACATCCAAGCTGCTTGTTAGGCTGTGTCTACACTGCAGCCTATGTTGGCATAACTTGTGTGTCTCGGGGGTGCGAATAACCCCCCACCCCCGAGCAACATAAGTTACACTAACATAAGCACTGTGTTCTTCTCCTGCTGATGTAGCTTCTGCTGTTCATGGAGGTGGGATTTTTTTATGCTGACGGGAGAGCTCTCTCCTGTTGGCATATAGCGTCTTCCCCAGATGTGGTGCAGTGCTGTATGTGTAGACATGGCCTTAGTCGCTAGGAGTGGAATCCATGTGATGATCATTCAAACAATAGTTACTTCTAGTAACTGCGGTTCTTTGAAATATGTTGTCCACGTGGATTCCATGACCTGCCCTCCTTCCTTGCTTCTACAGTTCTATAGGGGTGTGCAAGGACACTAAGATATGTCTTAGCATATCTTAGCAGTGTAAGTCTCGGGTTAGTGGTTCCCAAGTCAGCATACCCATGTCAGGGAACTGTGGGCTTGATTGTCTACACTGCCTTTTAACCCTAGGTTAAGGATTTTCTGACTTGTGCTTGAGCCTAGGGCTCTGTTATCCACAGTGCAATGTACGGAGCTGAGTCAAAGTAACTCTATCCCAGAGTGCTAGTGTTCTTCCCCTCTCCCTCTCTTGCCATCTGTCAACACTCTAACGTTATGAATGTGTTGCACTGTGGGAAAACTTTACTGCCCACCCAGTTTCCTAAGCAAAATATCAAATGATAATACTGCTAGACACCATGTTGGGGAACTACAGAGGTGGCTTTTGTCCGGGAATATAAGCCTCAGTCTTAATGGTACAAGGAGACTTTTATTGGTGAAAGAAATTTATTTCCCCCCCAGTAAACGTGAAAATACTTAATTCGGACAAATAGAAATATAAGATAGTCCTCAAAGGTGTATAGGAAGTCAAATAATAGGACTAAGAATAACTGTTGGACTAGAGAAATGAACTGAAAAGCAGCCTCTCTCTTTCTTTTAAAGTGATTGAATAGGGCTTCTTCTGAGCTCAACTGTGTATAGGAATAAGGGATACCTGGGAGGCTGTGGGGAAGCTTTAAGGCTGGCTCCCACTCACTGCCCTCACAGTGCACGCTGCCTGGCTGCCTCTGCACCTGCAGCCCCAGGAAGGGTGGAGAGCTCCAGGAGCATGGGGCAGAAAACAGAGCAAGAACAAGCGGTTGCCCTGTAGGGTGGGAAAGCGGCAGAGATCCTGGCTCAGCACAGCGGGGAGAGGAACGGCTCCTGGCTGCCAGGATGTTGGGGGTTACCTCCCACCTGTCGCTTTGCTCTCTGCTCTGGGCAAGCTCAGTGCTCAGTGAAGAGGAGCTGGAGCCAATGCTGTAGGAGGCTGCATGGAGGTTTTGGGGCTGGCTCCCACTCGCTGCCCAGACAGTGCATGCTACCTGGGTCCCCCTGCGCATGCAGCCCTAGGGAGGGCAGGGGGAGCCAGTGAGCAGAGTGGGGATGGCGGGAGTGCCCCTGCAAGGAGGAGAAGCTGGGGTATTGGGGGTCATCTTTCCCCAGCTGTGCTGAGCTGGGAGCGCTGCTGCTCTCCATACCTGCAGGGTAGTTACTTAATCCCTGCTCCACTTTCTGACCCCCCGGCCCCCTGGGGCTGTGTGTGCAGGGGCACCCAAGCTGCGTGCACTAAAATCTGGCTGTGCTCTTGTGACCAGGAAGTAGCTCTCTTTGCAAAAAGCTTCTTCTGATCAGTCTCAATTGAAAACCCTGCAGGCTCTCTGATTGTCTGCTAAACATGGGTCTGTAAGCACGCTATAAGCTGCTCCCATTTGCAAAGGGGAGGTGTAGCTTCCCCTTGACTGTACCATAGATTGTCGACATAGGGAGGATTAAGGAAGTTGCCCCCAGAAACTCTGAAATACATATGGAGAACTTCTGTGACCTGAGTGAAGTCAGGGCTGCGTGCACACAGGAAAGCAATAGGGCTCAGATCCTAGGTCCCAGCTTAACAAGGGTTTGGACCCTGCAGTGTTTTGGGACCCTAGATTCAAACCCTAGGTTAACACAATTGGTGTGTGGATGCAAGCGGGGTTAGGCCAGGGCTTACATTGCTGTGTAGACATATCCTTATCGTGCAGGTGTGGTCCCTATGGAAACTGCTAGCTAAAACAGACCTTGGGTGTGCGTGAGCTACAGCTGCACAAGATCAGTTTTAGCTACCAGTGTCCATAGGGACCACACCTACTCCCTGGGTGTTCTTGCATACCCCTATCCCAGGATGCGAAGGGTGGAGCGGGCCTAGCCATCTCTCAATTCCTTCACCAATACAGAATTTCACAGGATTAGGACTCTGTAGAAGAAAGGAATGAGGGCAGAATCCATGTGGACAACATATTTCAAAGAACCATGATTATTATAAGGTAATTTGTCTGCATTTATATATTTATAAAAGTAACTTGTATTTTTTTAAAATAATGAAATAACATTTTGACTTTCACATTGGATAAAGTTGAGTATATGTCAAAGTTAAGCACAGAATTGGCGCCTAGATCAGAAAATTTTAAGCATTTCCATTAAAAACCATAAAAATGAAGAGAAACACTTTAATGAAACTGAAAACTGATTTTAACTTAATTTTAATACAAATTTTTCTTGTTTTTGCAGAGACAGTGCGATTCTGATTTGTCCAATTTTATTGTGCTGACAAAGCAACAGGGAAAGAATGCCAAGTTCCAAAAGTAACTTGATGTTGTCAGGTGACATTTCAGATTTCAGGAAAATGGCAATTTCAAATGAGAGAGAGCCTGTTGAAAAGAGTACAGCAAGTCTGATTGAGAACAATGGCTATCAAGACTCTGTATACATAAATGCAGCTAAAATTTTTCAAGGCATTCGTAATGAAAAGCCTCAGGATAAAATATTGGTAAGGTATGGTAATGAACTAGTGCCATCCCTACCAGATTTTAAAGATGAATGTTCCCAGCGCTCATCCTATGAATTGGCGTTTAGTGCTCTGAAATGTAAGTAGAAACTCTTTCCCTATATCGGTAACAGAAATGATGCAGTGCAGAAAATATACAAAAACTACATGAAGTATTTAGGTCATGTATATCGGTATGATCACGTTTATTGATGGGCAGGAAGGATGGTTCAGTAGCTAGGGTGCTAGCCTGTGGATCTGGGATTACTTTACTTGGAGATTAGTTTTAAATTAACTAGCAACCCAGGACTGTTGAAATTGATGGCTGGTCATAGACAGTGTATTGGGAAGCAAGGTGGGCAGCCGTATTTATGAGAGCGCCAATGTGTATATTTGATCAGCCTGTCCAAGTGCTTTGGAGGAAACCCTTTTTTTTTAATCTGTTAAACTGTTTGTGAATACTGTACAAATTCTTGTTACAAACCAAGATAATGTAAAACAAAGTACTTAATTTTCATTATTTAAGTTTTTGGTCCAGTTTCCTGTAAAGGAAAAAGTGTGAATTCTGTCCATTGCAGCAATAAATAAATAAATAATTTTTACTCCCCCTACAAACTGAACATGCAAAATTGACCATTATTAACAATCAGTCATCCAAATTAAGAATCTGATTCTTCCCCTCGTCTGTTATTCCTTCATGGGAATAGGGCCACTGATTTTGAACTGAGAAGTTGATTTATGGGTTCTTCCATGTAGTAAGAAGGGGCGGGATTTGGCTCCTGGGGAGTAGCATGAGATTTGACCTTCAAAATATGCGGAGCTAGGATGAAGGGAGGACTGAGTGGAGGCCAGGACCACAGATAGCCTTTGTCTCCACACTGCCTTCTTTCCTACCTAGCCCTGTGAGAACACAGCTGGCTACTATATGCAAACCTTATCAAACAATGTAGTAGGGTACATTCCTTATCTTGATGACAGGGTCATATCAGGTTGATTGGCTAGCTCTGTGAAGAACTGCTCTAGACTAGTGCCAGATTACCTGTAGACCACCAGCAAGACTCTGGGAGGGGCACCTGACTGAGCAATTGCTACTGCTCCTTGCTCAAGATCTTGCTAGTTTTGCTACCTTATGCTCATAGATATGCATTGTAACAAGCCCCCTGCCCAACCCCCAAGAACAGACAATAGCTTAAAGAAACTATCAGTTTGAAATACACTACATCAAATTAATGTGCATTAAAAAATAGAGGCTGAAAAATAGACCATTGAATGTTTTGTTAGAGGAATCCTTCAAAACCACCCTGTCAGTAAGAGGGAAAATAAAATAAAATGGACAGTCTCCTAAACATAAGAATAAATTAACACTGCATCCTCACCAAAATGGAGTTCAAGTATTCATATTGTTTGGCCACTTGTAAATAGTGTCAACTAGTTTTGTTAAGTGTTTGCTGGCTTGTAGCAGTAACTTCCCAGTTTACAGCTGACATTTCTGCTGTGTCCTCTGTACTTTCACATGTAATTTCACTCCTTTTTTTGTGACTGAAAAAACAAAAATGCAGAAGTCCCAGATAACTAGACTCCAAGAAAGAGAGAAATCTTTCCAAAAGAAAACTGAGTAGAAAAGAGGAAAAAATTAACAGTGACTGAACTGGCAAACATGGCATTTCTCTTTAGAAACTTTAGAAGCTGAACAAATGACCAACAGAAGTTGGTCCAGTAAAAGATATTACCTGATCCATCTTGTCATGCTAGTCCACTGCAACACCTACCTTTTGGCCATTTCAAGGACAAAGAGTTACATTTTGTGTCTGTACTCACTCCAAAAATAGACTCATGAGGGAGAGACACTTAGCACTGGCATCTTTTGTGGGATTTTAACAGTAGATGGTGGCAGGCTCAGCACTTTGCAGGATTTAGTTCAGTATGACTGTATCACAAAAGTGAGTCAGTATAAAAAATGAGAAACCATTTAGTATCCATGGGAACTACCTAAAATATGTGGTGACATCAGGTTTCCCTGGATCAAACAGAAAAGAGTAATTGTTCCTGACCAAATGCTAAGAAACTTTCATTGGGTAAAATTCAGAGGATATAGTAGCTAAACAATAGAAATTTGAGGAGAAGAAATAGAAATGCGTTCCTTCTCCCTGCTGCTATTGTGACCTTTTCATCTGAAAGATGTAGCATAGGCATTTTTCATCCAGCTCTGAATCTAAAAGAAGGCTAAGAAACTGTTACTCTCTATTCTTGGTGATACAGTGTTGCTTCTAATGTAGGAACAAAAATAATTCTTAGTGGTGAGGGGAACAGAGCACCAGAAAATGCAATGAACACAAAATATAGTATAGTTGAGAACATCTTAAGGTTATCTTCTGGCAATCTTCTTCTCAAAAGTCTTGTGCACTAAATGTGAAATTAAGCACGCACAAGATAGGAACAAACAATTACTGACAATGGAAATTGCTTGCTGAAAAATTCAGAAAACTGAATTGTTCTTCACTGCCTTATGTATAACCAAGGGTTAAATTGAGATTTGCCTTGCATGGGTGTTTATGGAGTGGGCATGGTTAGCAGAGCTTGGCTGGCCCAGACAAGCAATGCCCTTTAAAGGATGGAGCTGAAGTCATTTGTGCATGTGCTATAGCAGTGCTTTCAGCTATGTTGTGCCTGCGTTGGGCACAATACTTCTGCCCAAACCAGCATGCAAGCCAAAGATAGTGTGCTGTTTTCTGCAATGAGTAGATGTCTGCTAGTCCTAATTTGTGAGTCAGAGATCTGAACTGCAGTCATTTCAGTGGAGGAGACTAGCAAGCAGATTAAGTCATGGAAGGAAGAGACTTAGCCACCAACCTTTCACTGAAACAGCAAAAAATTAAAGTAGCAAATCTGACACCAGATGCCTTTGGCCCTGAAGAAGCCAAACAAAAGCAAAAGGATGATGACTTACTTACTGAAGTGCTTAATATTTAAATCATAAAACAGATTAATTCGAGACCTACCTGCCATGGTGCGCGGCTGGTATGGGTGTGGGGGTTTGGCAGGGCTGGCAGGGCTTCCTACCCGGCTCTGCTTCCCTGCAGCTCCTAGGCAGCGGAGGCAGGGGCCAGGGCAGGACTCTGCTGCTCCCGCCACAAGTGCCAGCTGCCGCAGCTCCCATTGGCTGGGAACCACCGCCAATGGGAGCTGTGGGGGCGGGGCCTGCGGGCGCTGGCAGCATGAAGACCCCTCAGCCACCTAGGAGCTGCAGGGGAGCCATGCTAGTGGGAACCAGGAGCTTCCCACCCCAAGGTAAGCACCCCCTGCAGCTCCCAACCTCTGCCCCTAATCCTGAGCCCCCTCCCATACACCCAAACTGTGAGCCAGCACCAGACTCTGCAAAAGTCACGGAGGTCAGGGAAAGTCACGGAATCCGTGACTTTTGTGACAGACTCGCAGCATTACCTATAAGATGAGAAAATAATTAAACCTCATCTTGTCCCTTTGCTACTGAAACCAAGGGAAGGGTATTCATCAAAACAAACAGTGGCTCTAAACCATTCTTATACTCCTGGGGGAATTCTGCACCAAAAATTTAAAAATTCTGAGCACAATATTTTAAAATTCTCCAATTTTATTTGTCAAAATAACACAATATAATCACACCAGTTTCAATTATTTTTGGTCATTTATTTCAAAATACCTGTGAGCAAGTATGTCTAATACAAACAACAAAAAAGATTCAGGAAATGTTCTTTGACAGAGAGATTCCTAACTATGCATATTAATACAGAACTCTGAGTAATAATTCATTTAAACTACAGTACAGAACCGTATTTCCTGCACCCCTTAGAAGCGGTGCAAAGGCTTGGGGGAGTTAGGGGTAATGAAGGAGCTGAGGGAGAGGGAAGTAAATTGCTGGGAAGGAGCCTGGGTGTGAACTTGGAGGGTTGTTGGATATGGGTGGGAAAAGTATGGAACAAATTTATTTGGGGGGCGGGGAGGGATTGTTAGGGAGCTTCCCCCATGCAGACCCTGGCTGACCCCTAGCCTCTCCCATTCAGTCAGGCACATCTGCCCCTGTTCCCTTGTGTTCCTACATCCCCGTGTGTCCTTGCACCCCCTCTCCACATGTGTCCCTCCACCCCCATTCAGACACCCACTCCCCCATCACCATGTGGCCTTGCAACCCCTCCCCATGTCCCCATATGTCTCTGTGCCCCCACTAAGCTACCCCCTGTCCCTATGTAGCTCTGCACCCTCTCCCCCATCACCATGTGACCATGCAGCTCCCTCCCCCTGTGGCCCCCAATCCCATTCAGTCCCTGCACCAGTCTGTCCTCCCCCACTAGCCCTTATGAGTCTCCGTCTCCTGACCTTGCAGCTCCTGTGAAGAAGGCAGGCTCTTTCTCTTTCCTAGTTGACTGGGAGCTGCTGCTGTGTTCTATTGCCACAGCACCCTCTGGTGGGCAAAAGACGACACTACAGAAGTTTTCTGATGGGAGCTGCTGCTGTTATTGTAATAGCGCCTTCTGGTGGGCAAAAGATGGAACTGTAGCAGTTTTTCGGCAGAAGCTTATTTTCTGCGCAAAAAATTAATAATATGCATGGCTCATTAATTATTTAATCCCCCAGCAGTAATTCTCCTCACTTTTTGGTTATGGTGGGTTACGAGTCAGAGGTTGCATTTGGGTGGGTATTTTTTTTAATTTGATATGTTTAAGGTAAATGTTGTATTATCTTGAGTACTTGTCTCCTGAGACATCTGTCACTGCATGCCCTTATATATTGAGAGTGCAATTTAGCTGAATCATTTTATGCTTCCAAACTAGACTGGATAGTCTTCTCACTAGCTAAGAATACTACTACATCTTGGAGAATGTCCTCTCTTCCTCTTCTCTCCTTGCCACCACCCCAAAAATATACCTCCATAGAAGAAAAACGGTGGGGTGTCAGCAGAAATTAGGAGGTCTTTTTAATCTTCCAACTGTGCACCTGTTATTTAAGAGTGAATAAATGAATCATGGCACAGTATGAACAGAATCCTTTAATAAAGTATTACTTAATGTAAGGGTGCCAGAACTGAACAGTCTACTTCATTGTAAATTAGCAAGTGCAGCCATTTTCCCAGTGTGAAGTGAGGTTCATAGATCTAGCAGCAGGAGGCAGGGCTTTCTTGTCCTTTCATTTGCTTTCCTGATGAGGGCAAATGCAACAGTGGGCAAAGCTATCTGAAGCCACTTAGTGATGTCAAACAACCTTGCAGTAGCGACACATTTGAACAAGTATGGGCACTGTTTTATGCTGCCTCTCCTTTATGGGCATAGAAGTCTTTAATAGTCATGCATACCATTCCATAACTAAATACTATTGTGGATTTAGTTGAGTCAAAGGTACCAAGAAAAGTATTCTCTCCATGGCAGGTGTGTGGTTTTCTTAAAAGTAATATGCAGGTACAGTGCAGTAATATTAACCTATTTTCTTCAGAAGAAAATCCTTGGAAGTGCTCTGAAAGAAAAAAGTCTGAAGCAGCATTAGTGGATGCTGTGTCCTAGAGCTGGGAATGTCATCTACCATTCTCATTTCCAGGGTTCCTCAGAAGATGAGTGAAATTCTGGCCCCATTGTTGCCAATTATGTCAATTTTGCCATTGACTTCAGTGGGGCCAGGATTTCACCCTATGTCTCCAGAAGGGGGAGAGAACTTAAGCCATCCCCACTTCTATAACTAATAGTATATATGGCAGACAGGCATCTTTGCCTTAAGGAGCCACTATTGGGAAGTCTATAAAGTAGAAATAGCTATATTGAAATACTTGAGGGATCAAGACACCTATGTAACTTTCATATATTTATAAATTTAAGCATTTAAGAAACCTAATGTACATTTTAAAATGTTTTGCATTGAACTTATAATACTCTGACATGAATGGCAGATCTGAATGCTTGATATTTTACTTTTTGCAGCTAAATTTGTACTTTAAGCAATATCAGAAGATTTTAACAATTTACTATGTCTTTAAACTATTAATTTATTTTTCAATCTTTGCCTTGGTTATGAATTTTATTGACTTATACTACAAACTTTACAGTATTGTACAAATGTATTTAACCAGTATTTTCTTCTCTTGCAGATCAAGATCTACTTGAAAATATATTGTTAGATAGCTGTTTTTACCCATGTCAGTCAATAGTAAGTAACTTTCTGTTAGAAAGTAAGCTACTTTATAGTGCAGTTCATTATTATATGTATCTAGCATCTTTTTCATTCTGAAGGATACTGAAGTACTTTTAAATCTTATTTTACCTTTTGAAGCTTCATACAATTTAGACCTGTTAAATCGCCGGGCTAAATTTTCAGCTGTGGGGAGAGGGAGAGGACAGGGGAATTATAAATGCATACAACAGAAAAATAGTTGTACAAAGGAACCTACTTGTAGTAGGTTCGCGCCGGGGCTCTACCCTCCGGGACGGAGGGGCACCACACTGACTCACTACAGCACAGACAGTCAAAGCTCAGGCCCCTTTATGCAGGGGCTGAGCGACCCACAGTTCAGGGAGCTCAGGCCCTCAGGCAGGGCTGAGCAAACAATCAGCTAGCTCAGGCCTTTTGGTGCAGGGTCTGAGCAACAGTCAGTTAAGGGGCTCAGGCCCTCTGGTGCGGGGGCTGAGCAACAGTCAGTTAAGGGGCTCAGGCCCTCTGGTGCGGGAACTGAGCAACAATACGCTTGGGGGAGGCCCAGGTTCCTACCTGAGCGTTGGATGAGGGGGAAGCCTGCCACCCGTGAGCAGGGGTGGCAGGGGGGGACGCGGGTCCACCCACTCCACTGCGTCCCAGCCCGGGGCCCTAGCAGCGGTTACTGCCGCTGCTGGTCAGTGGGGTGTCCTGACCGAAACACACTGACATCGGCTCACGTGTCTCTGCAGCCTGACCAGGGTCGGCTACCCCAGGGCTACTTCCGTGTTCCCCCTCGGGGCCTACCTCGTTGGCGACACCGGGTTCGGGCCAGTCCAACAGCATCGGTTCCTCTGGTGCGGGGCTTGGGGGCAGGTCCGGCAGCTCTCCACCAGGGTAGCTGGCCCGGGGCAGGCTTGGCCAGTCCTCCTCGGGGTAGCTGGCCCGGGGCAGGCTTGGCCAGTCCTCCTCGGGGTAGCGGGCCCGGGGCAGGCTTGGTCAGTCCTCCTCGGGGTACCTGGCGAGAGGTAGGCTCGACCGGCGCAGTGGGGTAGCAGGCGGCTCGCGGCCTGCGGCTGTCTCCCAAGCAGGAGCTCGGCCCGGGACGTCTGCTCTTTCTGCCGGCCTGGGCTGCACTGAGCTCTGCAGGCGGGCTTTTATACTTCCGGGTCGAGGCAGTGACCTCAGAGGGGCGGGCGCCGGACCCGGTGGCTCCGCACACGTTGGGGTTAGGGGAAGTTCGGCCCTATGTGGGACGGAGGGGCACCACACCGCCTCACTACACTACTCATACTGAAGATTCAGCCATTTATGCTTGCCATTTGTAGCCATGCTTTGTAAGGGGTTGACAACTTTGAATAGCCAGAATGTTAAAGGGAATACTTAAACTAAGAAGTGTGAAAATGTTCTAAAGCTTATTTTACTCTTAATTTTGAATTAATTTAGTAGCACTCATGGCGTGGAAATTCCGACAGCTAAAGAAATTCTGGAGTCTTCTGTTTTCTCCTCAAGAAGGGGGAGGCTCAGCAGAAACTTCCCTCATGTTGTTACTTCAGTGAAGTTCAACCCTTTTCTGGAAAGGCAGTATTTAGAGATGAGGACTTAGGGTGACATTTCCATCCTTGTTGTGGTCTCTTTTTGCAAAATATAAGGGCAGAGCAATTTAAAGAGGCCATAAAATCCTGTATTTAACCAGGGGAGGATTTCCCTGGAGAACAGGGGACAGCGGTGCACCCCAACTCAAGTTGTGATGTGTAGGGCCGGAGCAGCATATGTAAGATGTGGCTGCAGCATGCAGTGCTGCAGAGATTTCAACAGTGCAGCAGCCCATATGGCAGCCTGAGGAGGCTGCTGTGACTTACACACGCCACCAGGGCTGCCTGTTACTTCAGGAGCTTCTCTAGTCCCCAAAGCAGCCCAGGACCAGGAAGGTGGCTAAAAGTCTCCTTTTGCCCTCATAGACTTAAAGGCCTGAAAGGACTATCATAATCATCTTGTCTGACCTCCTCCATGTTGCAGGCCAGAAAACATCACCCACCGACCCCTGTAATAGATCCATAACCTCTGGCTGAGTTACTGAAGACTTCAAGTTAGAGAATCCACCATTTACTCTAGTTGAAACCTACAAGTAACCTGTACCCCATGCTGCAGAGGAAGACGAACCCCCCACACCCTGGGGTCTATGCCAATCTGCCCTGGGGGGAAATTCCTTCCTGACCCCAAATATGGTGATCATCTGGACCCTGAGCGTGTTGGCAAGATTCACCAGAGAGACACCTGGGAAAGAATTCACTGCAGTAACTCAATCCCTCCCCCTCTAGAATCCCGTCGTTGGCCGTTGGGGATATTTGCTATTAGCAGTCACAGATGGGCCACATGCAGTCTCATCATACTGTCCCCTCCAAAAATTGATCAAGCTCAATCTTGAAGCCATCGCGAAGGGTTCTCTCATCGCCAGAATGGCCCTCCAGGCTTCTCTCAATTCTGCAGACATATTTGATTGCTACATCCGTTGTTAAGCATTGTGCTTCCTGGCTACATCTCTGGCTTCAAGACTAAGCTTGATAAGTTTATGGAGGGGATGGTATAATGGGATAGCCTCATTTTGGCAATTAATTCATCTTTGACTACTAGTGGTAAATATGCCCAATGGCTTGTGATGGGATGTTAGATGGGGTGGGATCTGAGTTACTACAGAGAATTCTTTCCTGGGTATCTGGCTGGTGAGTCTTGCCCACATGCTCAGGGTTTAGCTGATCGCCATATTTGGGGTCGGGAAGGAATTTTGCTCCAGGGCAGATTGGCAGAAGCCCTGGGGGTTTTTCGCCTTCCTCTGCAGCATGGGGCACGGGTCACTTGCTGGAAGATTCTCTGCACCTTGAAGTCTTTAAACCATGATTTGAGGACTTCAATGGCTCAGACACAGGTTTGATACAGGAGTGGGTGGGTGAGATTCTGTGGCCTGCATTGTGCAGGAGGTCAGACTAGGTGATCATAATGGTCCCTTCTGACCTTAAAGTCTATGATTCTCTGATCTGTCCAGGTTTCTGAGGGAAGTTCAAGCCACAATCGAGGACTTACCTTTTGAAGGCCAAAAACTGTTTGCGTACAACACCACCACGTCCTTGCACATCTTGAAGGACTCACAGGCGACCCTGAAGAAACTTGGAATTTGTCCCTCCAAATAAAAAGAAACAAGGCAGATTTTATAACCCACGATTTTGCACTGGCCAATACACTCAGCCCCAATGACAGTATGATCAATGCCGCAAACAATGTCAGTCTAGACACCGGCAGCCCCAAGATCATCCGTCCATGTCTCAACCATCTACTTCCAGGCAAACATTTTGAGTGTTGGTCGAGGACACGAGAACCTCACATTCCCTAATTCAGGATTTACATTTTGTCACCATATTACCCAGTCTGGAAGACCATCACTACAGACAAATGCGTTCTGGAAATTATCCAGCAGGGTTACTCCATCCCCTTTATTTCTATTCCACCTATCCATTCCCCTTCCCCGTCCCTCCTCAGGGACCCCTCTCACAAGCACATGTTACAACGGGAAATAAACCTCTACAGTTAGGTGCTGTGGAACCTGTACCAGTTCAACACAGGGGGAGAGAGGATTTTATTTCCATTATTTTCTCACTCCGAAAAAAATTGGGGAGAGTGGAGGCCCATCATGGATTTATGGAAACTCAACAAGTTCATGAAAACACAACATTTCAAAATGGTGACTCTATCCACAATAATTCCAACATTGGAGAAAGGAGATTGACTCTCGGCCCTCGACCTACAAGACATTTACTTTCATGTTACCATCCATCTGGCACACAGACGATTCCTGCACTTCACCCTAGGGAAACAACATTTCTAATAAAGAGTGCTTTCTTTCACCTTTCCACTGCCCCAAGGGTCTTTTCCAAAGTTCTTGCCGACATGACTGCTCACCTCCACAGGCAGAAGGTGATGATCTTTCCATGTTTAGATGACTGTCTTCTAAAGGCACCAATGCAACAGGCAGCAACCAGTGCCACTTACACAACAATAACCCTTTTTATGGCCTTGGGCTTACAAATAAATCTTCAGAAGTCCACTATGATACCTACCCAACATTTGGAGTTTATAGGGGCAATCTCAAGGTGACAGCGAGATTACCCCAACGCTTCCTCACTTTAACCAATCTAATTACAACAGTTAGGGGCAACCCACAAACGTCCGCCAGAATGTGCTTACAAGTTTTGGGGCACATGACGCTACAACGTTTGTTGTAAAATATGCCAGGCTCCACATGAGATGTTTACAGGCCTGTCTCCTCACTGTCTATAGTCTGCACAGACACTCCCTCAACAGACATCTCATGATGCCTCGCAGAGTAAAGCACTTGCTCATATGGGCACACACCCTACCAACACCTGCTCAGGTGTTCCCTTCCTACAAAAAGTTCTATGTGTGATGATCACCACAGACGCTTCCCTCCTGGGTTGGGGGGCACACTTATGCGACAATACCATCCAGGGTCGCTGGTCTCTAGCAGAATCCAATCTCCACATAAACTTACTGGAGCTAAGGGCAGTCCGAAATGCTTGCCAGCACTTTCTTCCTCTAATTCACAAGAAGACTGTAAAGATTCTCATGAACAATCTAGCAACCATGTTTTGTCTAAACTGCCAAGGGGGCTCGATCATATCCCCTCTGTTCAGAAATAGTTCATCTGTGGCAATGGTGCATCACCAACAGCATAGACATTCTGGCATTCTATTTGCCCAGTCGCCAGAATGCAACAGTAGATCAACTAATCAGAAACTTCTCCCAAACCCACGAGTGGGAGATGGATCCCAAAATCCTCAAAGCCATATTCAAACAATAGGGATTCCCCACCATAGACCTCTCTGCTACTGCCCACAATGCCAAGTGTCTTCAGTACTGCTCTCGGGCCGGAGTGAGACACAACTCCCAGGGCGACGCCTTCCTTCTGAAATGGGACGCTCCACTGCTGTATGCCTTCCCTCCAATCCCATTACTGAGTCATGTCCTTCACAAGACCTCCACAACAGAACGATCAAAGGATCAAACTACATCCAAACAAAGACTATCTAAATGGATATCACCATGTAACCAGTTGTTACCAAAACAACAATCTGCCTGCTCCCTCCGGAGTTTGCACACACTCCACCAGAGCAATGTCGACACTGTGGCCTTTCTCAACAATGTGCCCATCACAGACATTTGTAAAGCAGCTACATGGGCATCAGTCCATATCTTTACTAAACACTACGCTTTAGAACAACAATCAACTGTAGAGGTTCAGTTTGGACTCAGTGCTATCCAGTGTACATAAACCAACTCTGAAGCCCCTCCCCTCCACTGAGGGGCACTGCTTAACTGTCACCTAAAGTGGGGCATCCACAGGGACACTCCTCGAAGAAGAGAAGGTTACTCAACTTGTGCAGTAACAGGTTCTTCAAGATGGTTGTCCCTGTGGGTGCTCCACTACCCGACTTTGGAGTTTCACACTGATCCTCAGGAGGTAGAGAAGAACCTGGGGGAGGGTTGGCTGCGCACACTAGGTAGACACCCGTAGTGGTGCGAGACAGCTGCTACACATGCGTGGCCAACCTAGGCACTGATACTACAAATCTCAGAATTACAAGCGCAAGGTACTAAGACACCTAAAGTGGAGAACCCACAGGGACAACCATCTAGAAGAACCTCAGTTAGTGCACAAGGTGAGTAACCTTCTCCTCAATGATGGTTCTCCGCTCCCCTCTCCCCCAGATGAAATTTTCCTCATTGCATTTTTAGGTCTAGGTATATTTAATCCTGGTTTTGTGTGACATGTGGGCGGGCAGGGATGCAATAGATGACCTCTTGAGGTCCATTCCAATCCTATATTTCTAGGATTTCATGATCTATAATCAAAGAAATAATGAAAGCTCTTGGAGAGGTTAGCTTTTTATCATAATATTTCATAAAGTTATCAATAACTTTGTCTACAGTTTTGTATTAAAAGCTGTATACTTTACAAAACCTTAAATCTTCACATTCTCAATGCTGGGTATTAAATAAGCTAAGCTGAACTTTAAAGGAGCAAAGTTAATACTGTGGTTAAGACAGGAGACTTAAGTGCCCAGGTTTGAAAATTTTAGCATAATATCACCTAAAGCCAAATTTAGGCACTTAAATAAGGGGTAAGCATCTCCATATCTCATTGACTTAATGACTTCAAACTGATCTTACAGTACTGTGCACCTTTGAAAGTCAGGACACTTATGTAGGTGCCAAAATATGGATTTTAGGTGGCTGACTTCAGATATTCAAGTTTGGAAAACTGTGGCTACTTAATATCTTTGCACTTCAGTCTGCCGATTAGTAAAATAAAGATATTTCCCTAATTCATGGGTTTATTGTGAGGATCAATTCCTTTTTTTCTAGTTAACATACTTTGTATACTTATACCTATATATATAAAAACACCATTTCTTACCTTCCTCTTTAACTTATGTGTGAATGTATTGCACATGAATGGTATTAGATTTACAGTTTAGGGGACTGAAGTTCATACAACAGATACAGCTTGGCAGCAGTAGTGCCAACCTACCCTGAGAATGAGCCTCAACTCTTACCTGATGAGAGAACCCCTAGGGCTGAAAGTAATCTATTCATGCTCATTCAGTCCTGGATGCCCCTGCTAATTCCAACAAGATTTTGAATTCGTGTCAGTTGTGGAAAATTTCTAATAAGAATGCTGAGGACAGCATGGAAATAATTTTTCTGTGGTAGCAGTGGTTGAATCAATACTGATTTTTTTAAAAAAATCTTACACTTTGAATGTTATGCAATAAAATGAAAAGCTATTAAAAAGGTATTGTGTGCTTCTCTTACCTTGAATATTACTGACTGTACAACAGTCAAATTCTACTTCTAAAATGATCTTTATGAACAGAAACATTTGAACACTTTTGCCAACAATTTAACATTTAAAGCTGCCTACTGTAACTTTTCTGTTACCAGTCGGATGAAGAGGAATACTGTTCTAATATATCTGCAATCTGCTGCAAAAGAGAACAATATAGTTGGAGGGTGAGGGAAAAATTATAATTGTAAACTCTAAAGGAAAGAAATGTAACCATTTTTTTTCTTCACCTTGGAGAACTAAAAGTTTGGGTGTTTCAATAAAAATAGTTAATAAAAGTCTGTCTTATTGATGAAAAGGTAGGCACTTGAAATCATGTCTCTACCTATTTTTCATTCAAAATAAGTCTCCATAATACATAGCAATCTCTCTAAAGGAACCACCTATGTCGACTCTTATGTGTAGTCCTAATGAAGACATAGTTCTTCTGTGAGTGTAAAGGTCTGGAGGTGGATCTCTTTGTATGATTGGGACCTACCTGTTTTGTTTCCATTTCTCTAAATGGTTATTTTCCTGTTGCAGCCAGATGAATTGACCAGTTTAATTGTTGTAATGTTGTATGACCTCCAAGATCGAAAGTTTCAAGCCCGACAGATTTCTGATGAAGAGGAATCAATACCAGAAGTCAGAGATGTAGAACATTATCTATACAGGTATATGTTATAGGTAATTTTCTAAGTGGACATAAATATAGGCTATTATAGGCTATATAAGGTTTTTAAAATTGCAAATATTGTGAACATCTGTTTTCATCTCAAGCCATAGTGGGCTTCTTTAAAGATGATTTGGTTTCAAAGAGAAACTTCTGAATTCCTAAAGTTAAGATTAAACTTGTATTTAGTCAAAACTGCTGATGGAATACTTTTGAAGTAAAAATGTAGTGCCTTATTTTTGTTGCTTATCTGATGGAAAAATCCAGAAAACCTCAGACCAAGTCAATATGAAAAAACATTACTCCATCATTCAATAAACAGATTCAGAAAGATGAGCATGGTGTGGTAAAGAACCAAGGAATCTCTGTAAAACACCTAACAGCCTTGCATTCTGCTCTACCGTACTTCCTCTAGGTTATTTTAGAGGTACTTTCATAAGACATCGAACAAAGAATCTGATAAGTCTCATATTTAAAGTAATGCCACATCATTCCCTCTGTAGTATATTTACTTAGTAAAGCCACTGGATTCGTGGGAGAATATGGTCTCACTATTGAATTTAGAACAGCCTGACGAGTTGCTGAACAGATCTGTGTCAGGCACCCCTTGAGGACAATAAAGGTATCTTTGCACTGGAGCTGGAAGATGTAATTTCTGGCTTGTAATTTCTGCTAGTTAAGATCATGGTAGCATGCTAAAAATAGAAGTGTAGCTGCACTGGCACAAGCAGTTGGATGGGCTAGCTGCCCTGAGTACAGTCCTGTCCAAGACCCTGGGTACATAGTCAGAGCTTGGATGAATATGTCTACTTGAACTGGAAATTATATCTTCCAGCTCCAGTTGAAATATATTCTAAGTACTTTAGAGACAAAAAGACCATCATGGTTGAGGAATGGTAAGCTTAAATCCTCCTTTCTGTTCAAATCCTGATTAACCAGGGTTTGTGTACAGGGGCTGGGGATGGGAATTATCAGGAATCTTCTTTCCTGCTTTTCTAAACTACAGAGGTATAGTAAAACTATTTCGCAGTTGCTATTGCATCTGTTGTATGGCTTCTATGTAGGGTATGTTTCACAAATCAACTGGCCAGGCCCGTGAGCATGCCCAAAACATTTTCTGCACTGCTTCTGATTGAGCCCCAGCAGAGCAGTTACATGACATGCTAGAAAATGCATGCAGCAGCCTGTTTGACTCTAGTTCTGTTGCCTATTGGGCCTGTGAGCCAGAATGTGGTGAGGGTATGAGCCTGAGTGAACAAAGCAAAAATGCCAAAGATTGCCCAAATGTAATTTTGTGTTGTTCCTCACAAATTCAGAGCTACATTATACTATGCTTCTGACTGAGGAAGCATTTCCATTATTAAAAAAGTTTCCTGTTTCTAATTTTCTGAAAAAGATAAATGAATGCCTTCAGCCACCTAATTAATTTTGTAAGGATTTGTACAACATCCTTTCACTGTGAAAAGTAGTTCCTACTAAAAGTGCAAAAGAAAATAGTAGATAAAAGGTTTTCTCAATTACTTACATAATATTAATATAGTCAAATAGATTTTGCTCTTTAAAATATCCTGGATTATTTTTCCCCTTCCTGTCCCCAAGAAACCCCTCTGCCCTTTCTATACCAGTCTGTGGCCTTTTTAGCTACATTTCTTCTTCGAGTGCTTGCTCATGTCCATTCCATGCTAAGAATGTGCACCCCATGTGCACAGTTGCTGCAGTTTTTTCCCTCAGTGGCATATGTAGGACTGACACTAGTGCCGTCTGTGTTGCTCATGTCCATTCCATGATCCACCCTCCTACCCCTCTCAGAGTTACTGGCAAAAAGGAATTTAGAGTGTGTGGGGGCTGACGTTGTCTCTTATAGCGGCGCGTATGTGCGTGGTTCCAGAGGGTGCTAGAGACGGCCCTATGGGTACCACTGAGGGAAAAAATCTGACAAATGTGCATCTGGCGCGCACCTCGAAGAACAGCAACAGTTATGAAAGGTCAGTAACCGTTTCTTATTCCTCCTTCTGGTTTAAAAGCTAAATTGGGAGCTATTCAACAGTCCAGTGGTTGTCACGCTTTTCCATATTTGAAACTCCTTCCACCGAATCAGGACTCCACTCCCATTTAGCAATATGGGAAGCATAGGATGGTTGTTGGGCCCCCATGGTGAAAACCATGCAATATTCAACATTCTTTTTGGTGAAAGAATATCAGTTGAAAGTAGCTGTTTGATTATAAAGCTTGGAAGAATAACACTATTCAAATTCAAGTCTTGGGCTTCTGGAGGATGGGAAAGAGAGAGTAAAGCTTCAAATATTCCAAGAACCCTTAAACAACAGTAAAGGTTAGAAAAACTTAGCATATGTACTGAAAGTTGAGAAAAGATGTATGTAACCCTACCGCTTTTCTTCAACACAATATCTCCATTAAAAAAGCCTGCTGAACATCTAGTGTTGGCTTTTACAATAGGTGGTAGGTTAAAAGTGGCTGAAAGTGCCATTGCCTGCTGCTGAATGGAAATGTGGCACTTTGGAGAAGTAGAATGTTTTAAGTATTATTTTTCTTCTCCAACTCATTATTGCCACCCCAACAATTGGGAAGAAGGATGGTCTAAAGTACTGTTTAGAGTGCTAGCCTGGGACTCTGGAGACCCAGTTCCCTGCTCCACCACAGATTTCAAATACAACAAAATCTGGCTGGTCAAAATTGCTTACTAAGTATAAGACAAGAGACCACAGGTTGATGTAACAAATAGTGGAAAAGTATGGTAACAATGAAACAAAACTGGTCATCATGAAAAGCAGTGGTTGCAGCACACCAGATTCATAATTATTGTCTATTTTTTGTAGGCATTGTGGTATTGCAGAGTTTTAAGGAGAGTTTTGAAAAAGGGCAATGTTCATAGGAGCTCCTATGTATGAAGGGTGACATAGGAGAAAGCGTGAAGGTGGTGGGTTGAAGATTTAACAAATGGTCAATGAAGGCTTGCATAATTGGCATAGTGGACATGTGGGTCAGCATCTGGATAGTGTATGGGATACTAGGCCCTTAAGGGTATGTCTAGACTCCAGTTAAAAACACCTGCGGCTGGCCTGTGTCAGCTGACTCAGGCTCATGGGGCTTGGACTACCAGGTTGTTTAATCGTGGTGTAGATGTTCAGGCTTGGGCTGGGCTGACCCCATCAGGGGGTAAGGTCCCAGAGCCCAAGATCCAACCTGAGCCTGAACGTTTACCCTGCAGTTAAACAACTCTGTAGTCTGTGCCTCATGAATTCGAGTCAGCTGACACAGGGCAACTATGGGTGTTTTTAATTGTAGTGTAGACATACCCTCCCCCCCCCATAAGCCAAGACGAATTCAGGCTTCATCAATGAGCCATGTTTCAAGTTTAAATGGCCAAATGAGATATCTCACAAAGTAGATTTGTGCAGATATTCAAAATATGATACATGCTAGACTGTGTTCCTCAAGCTTTGGAACTGCCCATCCCACATAAGTAGGGTTCAGATACATGCATAGTTCTGTTGGACTCTGGGTTTGGTTCTCCCATTTTTGGAACTCAGATGCTCTGCTGGGCTCCATTCCTCCTATCTGGTGTTTTGGTTCCACAGATCAGAAAGTGGGGAGAAATGCTGGTACACTTCCAAGTACCATCCACTTGTGACACCAAAATATCACTCACAATATGTTAAGGGGTCGGCAACCTTTCAGAAGCAGTGTGCCGAGTCTTTATTTATTCACTCTAATTTAAGGTTTTGCGTGCCAGTAATACAATTTAACGTTTTTAGAAGGTCTCTTTCTATAAATCTATAATATATAACTAAACTATTGTATGTAAAGTAAATAAGGTTTTTAAAATGTTTAAGAAGAGTCATTTAAAATTAAATTAAAATGCAGAGCCCCCCAGGCCGGTGGCCAGGACCCAGGCAGTGTGAGTGCCACTGAAAATCAGCTTGCGTGCCGCCTTCGGCACACGTGCCATAGGTTGCCTACCCCTGTGTTAGTCCCTCTACTTTTTTGTGTGCTTTGATCAGCCATGAAATAGCTAACAATTCTGATGTTTAAATTATCATCATTTGGCATTAGAGTTAACACACCATTTATGAATGAGGCAGTTAACACTTCTTAAAAACCATTGTTTCAGGCTCCTTGGAAATTCAGATTTCATTGCCTTTGGTTACAAGTGCATCATGTTTTTCAGGGTTTTCCCCTTTTCACCTTAACAGCTACACACTTCCTTTCTTTTTTAAAAATAGAAGCTGAAATTCAGGAGGTCGGGGTGAGACATGGCTCAATTTGAGTCAATTGTATGCTTAAGTAATATAGTCTCAGCTATGCATGTTGGGGGGCTCCTTGGGGCAGGCACTGTTTCATACTACATTTTTGCACAGTGTCCTGCAAAATGGGACCACACTCGTGATTGTGGCCTCTGGGCATTACTGCAGTATAAATGTTAAGTCATCATAATGAACTAAAATCTTCTAATCTGGGTAAAGCTATCATTTTATACTTGTAGTTTTAAGACCAAATTGGCTGCGGCTCTAGCAAGATGTCGAATCAAACATGATGCTCTTTCAATTGAATATATTCTACCAGAAACTCTACGGAAACAGGAACAAAGAGCTTCCGCTTTACCGTTGTATGCTTGGATAAATACATTAAAAAGCAGGTAAGATCTGTAAAATTAACATTTTAGAAATATACCTATTAAATTGTATATTGCCCTTCTATGAATTTGTTTTAAAATTTTGCACAGTACAGTATTATCTTATAAGGCATGGGTTTCTTGTAATAAACATTTATTTAACAGACCCAATTGACCTAAACATCACACTTCCATCTGCCATTTTTTTAACATACTAGTGATACAGTAATCTTAGGTGTTACTTATAACTGACAAGATGCTAGAGGAAAAACATATTTTCTATTGTTTTTTTTCCAATTTACTTGATGAATTGGACAACACCTTGAGTGTATCTGCACTGTGCTGGAAGGCTGCGTTCCAGTGTGGGATTGTCAGACGTGCTAGCTCTGCTACAGCTATTGCATTAAAAATTAAGATATAGCCAGGGTTGGTGCCTGAATATGTACTCAGGGGTTCTGAGTGGGTTTTTACTCAGGCAGCTAGCCCAAGCTGCTGCCTGTGCTACCCTGACTACACTGCTATTTTTAGTATGCTATCTTGAGCAGAGCTAGCATGTCTGTCTGCATGTGCTCAGAAGCACTCTCCCAGGTGTAGTACAGACGTACTTTTTGCATATAGTCATCCACACTGTTTCCCCTGCATAGTCAGTTTCCCCAATTTGTGTTTGTGTCTTGAACATAGCAACAAAGTGGAGAAAAAATATCAAAACCAAAAATGTTATTTTAAAACTGCAAAAATTGGTAGAGGGTTCTGGGAGTGACGTATAGTACATAGAACTACTTTTAATTGATTTTTTAAAAAATTGTTTTGCTAGTTGACAGTGTTCCTTTAAATGCTTCTTTATGTATATGTCAGTAAATAATACTAGTTTTAGTATTTATTACAGTACTAAAAGAACTGATAGGATGGATAACTTGACATCATTGTCACATCTTGTTTTCCTTACCAGTAATTTCTTCATAACCTTCCTTACCTAAAATGTTCTGTCTTGTCTATTTTAGGACAGCTTCAGGGCAGAGAACGTGTCTTACTCTGAACATGATTCTGCACCTTGTATTCAACCCGAGTACATGTTAGTTGACCTGACTAAAGATTGTCATGTTGGGCCCTCTGTTTACGATGTACAGTGTAAATTTATGGCACTGTATAAACAATAGTAGATTAAAACAAATGCAAGATTTTTCTGCATGACACTTAACCTGCATGACTGTACCATGGGTATTATGAATTACAAATTGCTTAATGTTCATTCATGCATTATCTTTCCTCAAGAGGGTGATTCAGAGAATAAGCAACAAATTCACTGGTGGTGTAAATGGATGCGAGTCCATTGTAGTCAGCTGAACTGCAGCTGTTTACACCAGCCGTAAATTTGGTATGAAATGTCAAATCCTAACTCTGAGTTCTGTTTTTATGATACTTTTTATGGCAAAAATCCAGATGTTCCAAGTGAATTTTTAGTTATTAACATTGTATGTTCAGTGGTCAGGATTACTATGAGTTATGAATGTTATATGTTAACAGCCTTGAAGACATTTACAAAGAATTGAAAAAAGAGGGATTCACAAAAGTTGAATCTGTGTCAGATTTTGAAGGTTATACTTATTGTCTGGACAAGCACTGCCATGATGTACTGGTTTTTCCTGCCTCTCTCAAAGAAGAAATCCTTAATTTGGAACTTTTCACAGGTTACAAACTCATCTTACAGGTCAGCAAAATAAGTCTGGAGTGGGTCTCATAATCTGATCTGCAAACTAAGCTAATGTTGTGCATTATCGTCTGTTCAGACATTGCATGGTTTTAATTTTTTTTTATGACTAAATAAATAACCAGGCACTAGCACTTTCTGCAGACTTCCTAGTAAGCAGGTTCTGAATGAGCTGTCCCCTGACATCTGGTGCTGAGCTGGGGGAAAAGACTTAAGGAACAGACTGTGTTTGTATAGACATGCCTACTTTGCCTAGGTATGCAGCATGATGGAGCTGCTTTGCCAAAGTATCACTTTTGTCTGGTGTTGGGTTATGGATCATTTCAGTAATGAGTGCAGAGGTAATTAAATGTTATCCTTATTGTGTAAGTAAAGGGCAGCAGAACTGTAATTAGCTTGCCCTGATTGAGGAGGTCACCCTAAACTGAACCTTACTCACCATGCAGGGGGTAGGAATGCCAAATCTCAGTGGAAGAGATGGGGGTGGGGGCAGGTGGTCCTACTTGGTGGTGTGTACTCTGTCCAAAAAGTCCTAAACACCATTTGACCACGCCTCTCTAGTGTTTAAAGGCGGAGCTAATGAGACTCACTTGTGAGTCATTGTTTCTGTTCAATGATTACTAGAGGTGAAACCCTGAGAACGTCTTGGGGTTAGGGACAGTGATGAAAGGAAAGAGGATGCAGGGCTGTACTGGCAGTGAGGCTCCCTGCTACCCAGTGAAATCACTAAAGACCTGTGTTATGTGGTAGAACCTCAGAACATGGTATCGCAGAGGTGGCATTAAGTGTCCAATAGTGACAGCATGCAACCAGCACAGCAAAGAAAAGCAGCAGCAGCACAGAAAAGCAGTGGATGCAGTGGCAAACAGCCAGTTGCAGAGGCACCAAGTGACCATAGAGACATTGCTCCCCCCCTTCCTTTCTGAACACCTCAACAAGCTCTGGGTCTTCACTAACAAAGGACAGCCAGCTGTGAATGGGGTGTAGCAGAGGGAGAGAGGAGTGGTGTGTTAAAGAGACATTCATTTATCATATTTTCCCACTGCCAGGTGGGAAACTGAGGCAAAGAACTGCCCAACATGCAGTGGGGGCAGGTTTTTGCTTATGGCTGCATGCTTTTGAATGTGTGTGTGGTGTGGTTCCAAATGAATGCTTGGATCCATTCCCTTTTATTAAAAGTTCTTTTGTTCTACACAGACTCAGTGTTTGCGAATGGGGAAGTATTGCCTCTTGGAGGTTTCTGGGGTGATAGTACGTTTTCCCAAAATACTGGGTGGGGGCTTGAGCCGGTTCTGTTTTGTATTGTTAAGAGGAAATGCTAGATATTGAACCTGGCCCTTGTTGCTTCCGAAAGTATTACTATTCTCAACTGCAAATATGACTCAACGTGGTAGCTCCAATGCAATCAGTATGACGTCTGAGTTGAGATTTTTATTATAAAACTTTTTTAAATAGAGACTATGGGTAAAATTTTCAAAAGTATAAGAGTCCCATATCTAAATGAGACATAGGACCTTTTGTCTTTGAAAATAGGATTTAAGCTCCTATATCACTTTGGCACTTTTGAAAACAAATTCTCTAGTTGATAAATAATGGCATCTGAATGTTTGACATTTCTACTGCAGTTATTTCCATAGGCTGAAATAGTGGCCACTCCCCCTCCATGCTGCATGCATAGGGGTTCCCAGCCACTGAAGCTTCAGAAACTCCGGTGGCTTTTCCCCTGGCTTGCCCTCAGCATCACCTCCATGCCAGCCTATTCAAAGCTGGTGCAGAGATCCCCATCATAGTACACAGATGGTGTGAGGCCCCTATACAACAGCTCTGCTGCTATCCTGTTCCTACACTAAATCAGCTTTTTTGTTTGAAATAGCAATAAGCACTTTATAAAAGTCCACATGACCAGATGAATGTGGGGGACTTTTTCCTTGCTCTCCACAGCACCTAAGGCCTTAGTACTGAAGACAACATGACCTATAGTCAAGATTTTCAAAAGTGATGAGTGACTTTGAATGCACAGCTTGAGAACCTTGAAAGGGCTGCTCAATAGTCACTTTTGAAAATCTTGGCCCCTTATTTGTAACTCTCGTAAGGGCCTCATATGCATATTAAGTAAGACAGCTACAGAATAAGACTGCCCTATCTAAAGGAGATACTGACGTTCAACTCTAGTAACAGTCTGAGTCCCCGGACACATGGTCCTCCTACAACAGTATCCAATAGCATGATCCTAATCTAAATGATTTTATCAGCAAAATAACTCCTACTGGGAAAAACTCATCTCTGTTATTGATATGATGCAGATTAACCAAGTTGTTCAACATCCAGAACAGATCTGCTCATTAGAACTTTGCAGATGCTATGATGGAGGCAATGAAACTCTTCTTCACCTCCTGCAAAGCTACTGTATAAGTTTATTTAAAATTGTTTGTCACAGTCAAATTCAGCACAAGACTTATAACATGTTCTCTACCTGTCTTCGTTCTAGCTTTATCTATACTAGGCCATCAGTATACTGTAGTGATGTGAGGATTCACCTATGAAAGGGGAATCTTAGTGGGCATTGCACTGATAATCAAGGTTGAAAGAGGATTCTAATGTCATCCCAGATCATTGATAAAAGAGGCATATTGGCTGAACAGGACTATTTCCCAAAGTCATCAGAAAACAAGGTTCCATTTGCCTCCAGGGACATATCAATAAAACATGTCCTCTTCCACAGTAAAAGAGGTATGCCCCAACCTCAAATTGGAAGAGGTAACGGTTGATCTTGATGAGGGTGTACATCTTGCCCACCAACCTATAATTTTGAGATAATCCGTTTTTTCTTTTTGGAGGTCTTGTGAGGCTTTGCAGTCGCTTTGGGTTCAAATCTGTAAAAGGAAGCTTTGTTGCCAAGAGCTTATGTTCCCTTTCAATCAAGGTTTACTTCATAGCTCTACCATTTGACTGTGTGAGAGAGAATTTCCCCCCTAGAACTGCATAAGACAGCCATGTGAACATCCTTGCATTTTTCTTTGTCATTGTAAACTTCATTTAGCAGCCTGACTTCAGGCATTTGAAATGATTATTGAGTTCCCCCTTGCCAGGGATGACAGACATACCTATCTGTTTCTCCCATTCTTCTGTGCCCACTGACAGCTCAACCTTTTTGTGTGTGTTGGAGTTGGAATGATATTCTATAATTTTTTAAATTTAGAATCAGTGAGGTTTGTATTTTAATATTTAAATCTAAGCCATCCAGACTTTATAAAGATTTGTTTTTCTTTCCCCACCCATTGGTAAGAGGAACTGAACTCACTTGTCTAGTTGGAAAGAGTACAGTACTTGGAGTAACCAAATTAATCTGAAGCTAAAATTCAACAACCTAAATCTACCAATTATTAATTAGCCATATTTAATTATTTAACTGGCATCATGTATTATCTTTTAGGATAAGTCTCGCAGCCTTGCTGTACATTCTGTGAAGGCCTTATTGAACATGGATGATGACATCATAGTAGCTCATATAGGTTCACGGCTGACTGCTGCCCACATGTCAGTGTTGTCAAATCAGAGCACATCCAAAGTTTTTGTATGTGGTGTAAAATCGCAGGCAAAGGAAGTTGAACTGAAGGAGCTATTCACACGCATGGAATGTGGAAGTATGTGTTAAACATTTATTTAATAATACAATTATTTCCAGATCCCAGGTAATTCTGCCACATTTTAAAGCTTACTCTTTATTTGAGCAAAAATGTTTTAAAAATGTTTCTGGTACAATATGTATTTAAAAAAATCCTTCAGATATTTAAAAATGTCTGTCAGTGTTCTCATTCATGCACCATCAGGGCAGGGTTAGGTAAATATTTGCATTGTTTTGTTTTGTGTGTGTGGTGTTTTTTTTTTAAAGGAGTTAAGTCAGTTAGAGGTTCACATGTTCTGTCATAATCCCATGAAAAATTCTGTTGCTGCAACTGTGAAATTAAGTGACAAGTCTAGTAAATACCACACTTCACCAATTTATCAAGTATTTTATTTGGCAAATGAGTAGTGAGTGTTTTTTGTGTGGTGAGAGAGAGAGTTGTACAGAAAATTCCCAGTTTGCACCCTCAAGCCTCATTTCACAGCATCCTTCTTAAGGGAGAAGAGGGAGAGGATGTTCCTTTTAGAGTCCAGTAACATTGCCCCTAGAGATCACTTGAAAGCTTTGCTGCAATGTGATGTACTGCCTGTCGTTAGTATCTTTGCAATCTGCTGCTTCTGAGTTCAGCTGCACCTGATATGCTCTGCTCAGAGAGGCAATCTTAGCTAGGTCTCTAAAAATCCCTATTGGGATTTAACCTAAACACCCCCATACAGCTATCTTGCAAGGCAGAGCTTCCTGCTAGGGTATACCTCTCAACACCTGGACTCTGAAAGGAGGGGCAGTGAGGGACAACACACCTTGAAATGAAGGACATCAAATATTTTCCTGAACACAGTTTAATTTTTTTTTGAAAGTACAGGCGTGCATGAGATTCCCAATTCTTAGTCAACTATTCAGAGATTATACGTGGCCTATACAAAGAAAAACAAAATGCAACTGAAATAAAATCCATGATCAAAGCAGGCAACATGAGGAGAGAATTTCCATTCTCTCTTTCGCCTTCCTCCCTCCCTTTGTCCTGATTCTATCCCCTGCTCCACTCTATCTCCCTGCCTGTCTCCTCATCTTTATCCCTCTGTCCCTTCTTCCAACTCCCTCCTTCCTCCTCTTCCCTCCCACACTCTCTCTCTGGTCCATCTCTACTGTTTCAGGTGACAGTTCCCTCCCTCCTCACAGTCCCAGGTGCCATTAGTGCCTCTTTTCCCTCTCCTTTGCCACGATCCAAAGTTTTTGCCTGGCAACTAATGACTTGAGATGGGTTGGCACCTTCTGTTTGGCTGTCCTGCCTGAGAGGAGGGAAAGGAGTGGAATGTGGAGCGGGGCCTCATGCTTCCTTCACACCTGTTTTCCGTGAAACAACCTTAAATATCAGGGCCAGATGTGGGATGTCTCGCACAATGTGGGACGCTTGAGAGGTACGTCCTAGGGTCACCACTGGGGCAGAAAGAGCCAAAGCTATGGGATCATGAAAGATGAATTCAGACTGGAACAAGTGCAAAGAAGTGCTATTAGGATGATTTGGGGAATGGAGGGCCTATTTTATGGGGGTGAGACTGGAAGAGCTTGGCTTGTTTAGCCTAGCAAAGCAAAGGCTGAGAGGGGATATGATTACTCTCTATAAATATACATCATGGGGGGGGTGAAGAGCTATTTAAGCTAAAGGACAGTGTTGGCACAAGAACAAATGGCTATAAACTGGCCATGAACAACTTCAGGCTGGAAATTAGAACAGCTTCCCAATAGGAGTTGTGGGAGCAAACAACTAAACTAGTTCTGAGAGAGAGCTGGACAAATTTATGAGTGCGATTGTATGATGGGGTTCCTTGTGGGCAGCAGGACCCAGCAGTCCCAAGGATCCTGTTTGGTGTTCCTAAATCTCACACTTCAGGGCTTCAACTGCTCACCTCAAGGAATCAGGAAGGGACATCCCCCCCACCACCCCCCGTCCAATGTATGCTGCTGTTATGTAGGTGTTTTTTTGTTTCTTTCCTTCCTCTGAAACATCAGAGATGGCAACAGCTGGAGAGGGGATACTGGACGGGGAGGGGCTGGTGTCCTGAGATAGTACCAGGCATTCTCTTTCTTGCTTGGCTGGCTGGTTCTTGCTCATGTGCTGAAGATCTCACTGATCACCATATATGGGGTTAGGATGGAATTTCCCCCCAGGTCATATTGGTAGTGACCTTAGGGTGTTTCCCCCTTCCTCTGCATCCTGGGTTGCTTGCCAAGATCATCTGGGTATACCTCACTTAATCAGGTCGCTGCCATAGCAGAGGCCTCGAGCATTGGTATCTCTCAGTCCGTCCTATTCTCTGCCTAAAGTAAAACATAATACTTTGTTCTCCTGAGACCTGTAAATCCTTGGTCTAATTTCAGTTGCTGGGTTCAGTGTGTGGGTGCTGGGTAGTATTTGTGGTTTGTAGTAGGAAGGCAGTCAGACTAGATGAGCTGGTGGTTTATTCTGGCCTTAAATTATATGACACTGTTCCCTTCAGGGGGCCCATCCAGGCCCTTGTAGAGATAATACAATATGAAAAATCTAGTAACTGATAAGTAACTGGATTTTAATTATAAGTATTCATATTTTAATGGTAGACAAACTGTTTTAGGTGAAATTAGCATAATGCTAGCAGGCTTTCTGCTTTATTAGATTAAAATTTTACTGGATTACTTTCATATTAACCTTTCAGTGTTTCCTTGTTTCTCAGATATTGAGCTACTACATGAGGATTTTACTGAGATTGAACCAACAGATCAAAGACTGCAAAAGGCTAAAGTTATTCTGCTGCTACCTCGGTGCTCAGGATTGGGTGTTAGTAATCCAATAGAATTTATTCTAAATGAACATGAAGGTAATTTTGATACTACAGTATAATTAAACTTAAAGAAAATGAAAACACAATTGGTTAACTTGTCAGCGCTCTGTGGCAGGGACAATTTTTTTGTTGTTCAGTGCCTAAGCCAAGTGTCCTATTTCTTCACTGGAGGCCACAGGTGCTACAATGATACAAATAATAATATTATTCAAATTCTTTTTTTTTATTTCACCTTACAAAAATATAGATCCTATGAATAATACTTTGAATACTCCTACATGTATAAATGCAAAATATCATATAAATACACCTCTACCCCGATATAACACGAATTTGGATATAACGCGGTAAAGCAGCGCTCCGGGTGGGCGGGGCTGCGCGCTCTGGCGGATCAAAGCAAGTTCGATATAACGCAGTTTCACCTATGATGCGGTAAGATTTTTTGGCTCGCGAGGACAGCGTTATATCGGGGTAGAGGTGTACAATGGGATGGTTGCGCAATTAAAATTGCAAAGACAGATGAATGCTGATTACTGGAAGTGGTAGGGGGACAAATCTGAAAATTAGGAATTGTGGAATTTTTGAATAGTGGAATTTCAGACAAATCTAATTTTGGCACCATAACTTAATTTTGGATAATTAGAGTTCAAGTTTAGTCATGAATTGCAAAGAGTCAGTTTCCAACAGCTGTGTTATCTTAGCTGCGCTTCACGCTGGCCAAATAAACACCTCTAAAATGTCTCCTAGTATATTTAGTACTTTGATAAATTAGGTAGAACAGCTACTCCATAGAGGTATGATATTCTCCTAAACTATATATTTAAGATGTTTTTATGTTGGGTCAAAGTTTTATCCCTAATTATAAGAACATAAGAATGGCCATACTAGGTCAGACCAAAGATCCATCCAGTCTATTATCCTGTTTTCCGACAGTGGCCAATGCCAGGTGCTCCAGAGGGAGTGAACCTAACAGGTAATGATCAAGTGATCTCTCTCCTGCAATCCATCTCCACCCTCTGACAAACAGAGGCTAGGGACACCATTCCTTACCCATCCTGGCTAATAGCCATTAATGGACTTAACCTCCATGAATTTATCTAGTTCTCTTTTAAACCCTGTTATAGTACTAGCCTTCACAACCTCCTCAGGGAAGGAGTTCCACAGGTTGACTGCACGGTGTGAAGAACTTTCTTTTATTTGTTTTAAACATGCTGACCATTAATTTCATTTGGTGGCTCCTAGTTCTTATATAATGGGAACAAGTAAATAACTTTTTCTTATTCGCTTTCTCCACACAACTCATGATTTTATATACTTCTATCATATCCCCCCTTAGTCTCCTCTTTTCCAAGCTGAAAAGTCCTAGCCTCTTTAATCTCTCCTCATATGGCACTTGTTCCAAACCCCTAATCATTTTAGTTGCCTTTCTCTGAAACTTTTCTAATGCCAATATATCTTTTTTGAGATGAGGAGACCACATCTGTACGCGGTATTCAAGATGTGGGTGTACCATCGATTTATATAAGGGCAATAAGATATTCTCCGTCTTATTCTCTATCCCTTTTTTAATGATTCCTAATATCCTGTTTGCCTTTTTGACTGCCGCTGCACACTGCGTGGACGTCTTCAGAGAACTATCCACGCTGACTCCAAGGCTAGGTCTACACTACGGGGGGGTCGACCTAAGATACGCAACTTCAGCTATTCGTATAGCTGAAGTTGTGTATTTTAGGTCGACTTACCTGGCTGTGAGGACGGCAGCGAGTCGACTGCTGCTGCTCCCCCGCCGACTCCGCTTCCACCTCTCGCTGCGGTGGAGTTCCAGAGTCGACGGCAGAGCGATCGGGGATCGATTTTCGATCCCCGATAGATCGATCGCTACCAGCCAATTCAGCGGGTAGTGAAGACATGCCCCAAGATCTTTCCTGAAACATAATTAGACATTATGAAACATTAGCAACATAATTACTTTTAATATTCTGATTTTGTTTCAGTATCAATCTTGTTATTTTACAATAATATATATACAGCGTGTGACACGCAATTTTCACTTCAGAGTCAGTAATATACTCATTCCCCTCATTTTTCTAATAACAGGGATATCAATCTGTTACTGTGGTCACCATTGTCACAGAACTGTGAATTTTGACATTTATATGGACCCAGTTTGTTTTGATCTAGTCCTCTTTGAAAGGGGACTAGATCAAAGCAAACTGTTGATACAGGGCAGCAGGGTCCACATGAACAGTTCATTAGTTGTCTTTGATCAGCTGCATCCTCCTCCTCCCCATCGCGCCTACACTCCTGTCTGTCTTTTGCCCTTGCCCCCCTGTACCTCCTCCAGACTTCTGCACCCACCCAGCCACCCCTAGCTCCACGTCCAGTGTCTTTTCCCCCTCCCCCAATACCCTGTGGTGACTGCTCCCGTTCTCTGCCCTCTTTCCTTAGCTCCCGTGATCCCTTACTCCCTCACCTGGTACTGAGACCTACTGCCCAGGCTTAGCACTTCACTAGCAGTTCCTAGGCTCAGACATCCCACTGTACAGAAGGTTCTTCATCCAATCAGAAAGTGAAGGGCAGTGCCCAGTTGCTTGGCCCATCCTGACCATTCCTTCTCCAGCAATAGGCTGGGGAGAGAGAAGGGAGAGGCGGATTGGCGAAGCTGGTGAAAGAGAAGGGTTGAGGGTCAGGCAAGTTGGGGGTAGAAGGGACTGGGATGTAGAGGGCCCAGGAACCTGCAAGGGGGAAAGAAGACAGAGAGAGCGGTCACTGCAGGGAACCTGGGGGATGAAGGGGGCAAAGACCCAGCCCTGCCTCTTCTAGGAGCTCTGCACTGGGAAGAGGGGTCTGGGCGGTGGCGGGGGGGGGGGGGGAGTCAGAGTGAGGCGA